TTCTCGTATCCATGGAGACTGTGCAAGAGGCTAGTGAAGGAGCTAGCTATGGACCTTTGAGATGCGACAGGCTTTTCTGTCTTATTATTCATTCAATTTGTCAGCAACATTACAATCAAGATGAATTTTATAAGTCCAAAGCAATCTACATCAGCACAATACGTCTACAGTACAGTACAGTATATTCTTACTTAAAATAGCAAAAACTGTTAACGCAATGTACATTTAAATAATTTGTAAACAACCAGTACCAGAGCCTACTCACTGATGCAAAGAGAAAATAGACACTGACAGATATAATTCATTCAATGTAGTTAGAAAAATCCCTTTAGAATATGCGTGCTTGTCTTTGGACTGAAAATAAAGTTGATTTAATTTGCTTGTTGCTGTGTCCTATTGAGTCTATTGATCTGTTCTGGTTCAATACTTGAAAATGCATTTATTCTGTCTGTTTTCTGCACACACATCCAGTTTACAAAACCATCAGTTCAGCATTTTATCATATTCCAACTAATGTAAAGTTGAACTGTGTAACTTTTAACTTTACTTTTTCTTTCCATGGAGATGTGATTGCCTTGCCGGGAATGTAAATCTACCTTAAAAAAACAGTCACAGCATTAGCCAACAGATCACAGGCTGCTGAAAAAGTGTTGTTTAAATAAATGCTGTATTTTTTCTTGAGTTTCTCGACTATCTTAAAACTTTCTCTGTCTGTGTTTGCTAATATGTGCATTGTATGACCATGGAAACTGCTGAACATTCTGCCATAGAAATACATTATAGAAGACCCCCAGCACAATGTCACTGCAAGTATCAAGTATCAATTTACGAACAAAGACCACGCCACAACAGTGGAATACTACAAAGATATTTATTGATGATGGATAGATGTGATGGCTCAGACTCAGGGTGGGGGCTTTGTCTCCTAGGTGGTCGCCCAGCCAATTCAGGACTCCTTCAGGATTCCTTGTAGATGATGTCTTCAGGCTAAAGGATAGACAAGAGAAATTGGGTGGGAGGGAAGGGGTCGAGAGAGGGAAAACAGACGGTGTTGTCGGGATAGGCCGTATAAATAGAGCTTCTGGGTAGCTGAAGATGTGGTTGAGCTAAGCTGTGGTTGGCTGGAGAGGAGCAGGGGGAGGTTGAGGCGTGGTCCTGCTCCTGAATCTCAGTCAGTCATATTATCTCCACTTGTCTACATGGAAATAGACATCCCAGACAAATCAACATCTCCAGACAAGCAGGTGACAGACCTTCCAAATGTGCTTATTATTACAATTTGTTCATACTTCAGTGAGACCTATAATTTTGTACATTGGTTGATTAATTGAACACATGATTCAAATTCCATAAGTTCCAGACGCTTGTTCAAATTCCAAGAACAGCATGCTACAACTCGAAGCCTTGTGTGGACTTAAAGCTGCTCCTGCCTCTGAATACATTTCTTTTGATGGCTGCATTGCTAGTTCAGATTACCCAGAACGCAAAGCCATCTTGACACAGCCTATTATTCGAGTCTGGTTCACAAGAGAAACCTCAAAGGGAGTACTAGAGCTAAGGCAATGACCGATAAGCATGTCTATCAATATTTATGGAGAGCAAGAGGTCGAAAGCACAGGAAGTTTGGGATGGAGAGTGCCCAAGGTTGAGATAGATTGTGTATCAGGGAGCAGAAGGAGCATATAAACAAAATAATGACAATATTTAGACATGATAGTAGAATTATAACTTTTTCTTGGCTTGTTATCAGTTTCAGAGAGCAATTTTTGGTTCATTTGTGTTTTTGTTGGAGCATGGCGGGACCACCTCACTGAGATATGAACACAATCGCTTTTGAATACACACCAAACTAAACATAAAGCTATACTAACAGATCAAATATGTTATTCTTACATTATTTGTCACAATGGGAAAGTATAGATTCTAATTTTGAAGTCAGCATCATAATCCTCATATTTCCAAAACTCCACGAAACTAAAAACTGTGTGAAATATAATACTTGATAAGGCTTAGGCACTGACTGAAAATCTATGTAGTCATTTGAAACTGAAGATTTTGTACCTATGTGGTAAGATTTAACATTGAGACATGACATTGCTAACCTAAAGTTGTATTGTGTACGTTTTCGAGAGGATCCGCTGTCTAGTTTTTTTTTTTCTTTGCCTTAAAAGTTCCACAGTATGGCATTAAAGGGTCCATATTACGCTATTTTCTGATCTATGTTATAATGCTGTTTCCTCATCAAAAACACTCCCAAATCCATACACATTAAAATACTTTCAACTCTGGAACTGTCAAACAAAAGGTAGCTGTGACTTGAAAACTACCACTTCATGACATCACAAAGTGGAGCAAAGTATTTAGAGTTTTGGAGATGTAGACAAACCAATAACAAAAGATTAGACAAATATGAATGAAATGAAACAAAACACAAGGTATAGGTATGTCTAGGTATGTTTTTGATGAGGTAACAACATTATAACACTGCATAACATAACATTATAACAAGCTCACAATATTCAGTTTTGAGTAATATTGTCTCTTTAAACTCATCTGTTTCCATGGAGACAAGTATGAATACACCAGGCCGAATTGCATATTTTTCAAGCTATTTCTGGTTAATATAAATTAATGTCTAAGAAATCCAAGATAGTTTAGTTGCATTCTGGGGAACATTCCCGGAAAGGCAATACATCTCCATGAAGACATAACAGAAAAGTGACAACTCACATGATTGTTATGCTCCATGTGTATTGACAAGTTTGCTATGTATATATATATATCTATTGCCATTAACCATTGTCAAATTTAAAGATATTGTTGTCCTTTTGGTGAACTCTTGATGAATTGTATGGCTTAGATATTATGTGACAAAACAGACACTGATAAATTATGATTCAGTAGGTCAAGATGAGCCACGCCAGTACACCAGCTGTTTATGGTGCACTTGAGCCTCCAGGCGTCTTCAACCTTCACTTCATTGATCCAAAAGAAGACATTGCCAGAAATGCTTTTGTTTTTTATCTCGTACAGAATGACCGGATCAAGTAAACTGCACGATCAATACTTTGGTCCCAGGATAATTTAATAGGATCCTTGCACCAAATTGAATCTACCCAACGTAAATTGTACATTTGCGAAAATACTGTTTGATGAATGCTTAAAGGTCCTATATTACGCAAAATTGAGCCATGTTAGAATGTTGTTACCTCATCAGAAAGTGTTTGGATTCATTCGCACATGTTTGTGTAATCCTTTATTGTAAGTCTGACTACATCTCCAAAGCTTAAAATGTACTATTCCACCTTGTGATGTCATGAAGTTGTAGTTTTGAAGTTAACAGCTACATTTTACCTTTAGTTTAGTAGAAGGTGTGTGGAGTTGTAAAATATAGTGAAGCTCTTCTTGTATTACCACATGACATCACAAGGTGGAATGGAGTGTCTTTATTTTGATAGAAGAACTCATCACAAAGTGGAACTGAGTGTCTGAGAGAAGACCTCAGCCTAAACATGCAGGGTTTGTGTGTTAAACATGTGTGAATGAAACAAAATACAACTGCAGATATGTTTGCGCTGAGGAAACAACATTATAACATCAGATCAGAAATTGAGAAATGCAGCCTTTAACAGCTGTTATCATGAGTGTATTGACAGTCTGGCAAGTATCTTGTTGTGGTTTTTCCGGTCAGCAATGACAGAGCGTGGGAAGAGGGAGCTGGTCATATTTCAGACCACTAAAAACTCTTATCAAAGGATTATCTGTGGAGACTTCCGTTTAAGGGATCCCCAAGGTTAATGCGTCTTGCTGTATATGAGCCAAGTTTATTCATTGCATTGCACTGACAGAAAGGTTTACATAAAGCATACAAATAATTAGACTGAAGACTAATAAGGTCATGGCACAGTGTTGAGTGAAGAAAAGTCCTGCCTCATAGCAACAGGCTATGAGGCAGGAGTTTAGGTTGAGTGAACTTGTTAACCCAATTTTCCCCATCATCCTTAAACATGTACGATGGCCCAATAGATATTCTTGACCATGAACCTCAAGATCTGGAGGTGGGTCTCTGGGCATCACAATCACTGCTCCTAACAGGTTTTCTCAGCGATATTGAATGATGGGTCAAATGTAGAGGATAGATTTCCTTATATGGGGATATATGTGTCTATATAGTTATAAGTAAATAAGTAGTTATATAGTTATACGTCATCCGTGGATCCTTATGTTATAATTTGGCCATTTTGAATCGTAATATTAATCTAAAATGACACAATAAAAGAAGCAAGTCCACTGATTTCCATGTTAGAAATCTGTGGTGCGCAATCAGAGCAGATGTCACACAAAACGTCAACATCATAACAAAGACTCGGCAATATGGCGTCTTGAAAATAAATTGTTCAAGATTGCTCAGACATGGACGAATCTCTCCAAATACAACTTCGAGAGAGTAAATGAGAAGAAGAAACAACTATAACAAGGTTAAAAGCTTTGAAAATTCAATCTTGCATAGTAGGTTTGATTTAGAACTGCATTACAATGTCCATACCGCAAAAGGAGGAAATAAGTATTTAAATTCAGTTCCTAGCTCTCACAAATGCTTTCACACATTGTTAGTATTCATGTGCATTAATTTTCAAGCTTGTGCATGGCTTTAGAAATTGCCTGGGATCCAGAATACACACTTCTTCAGTATTTTATGAAGATATGAGTTTGAGCAGCGGTGAATTTTTGTCTGTCCATATTGGAAAAAATAAAGGAACAATGTATCACTGGGGGCTGAAAAACATTGTGCATTTCTGAAGAATCAATGAGCAAAGCACTAAACTGAGAAGAGATGAGATTTGTTGACCAGCAAATTCTTTTGTTTCACATCAGTCACTGAAGAAAGACTTATCTAACTGCACAGTTATGGTTAGTCGGGCTTGAGATGCAAATGTGTGTGGGGACCAGACTTCTGATGATAAGGGTGTAACCGACCAGACTGATATCAATCTGTCCAAAAGATAGAGAGCAGAGAGACATCTTTCTGGATTTGCAGCTTTAGAACAGAGTTTTATAGAAGGCAAAGTGAAACACGGGAGGACCGCTAAATCACAGTCAGTTCACTGCTCACGTCCAGGTTTGTAAGCAATAAAATAAGCTAGTTTATTACTTTTACTTTATATAGAGTGTACTTTGCTTGTACAACTTGATGTATACGTCTATAAGCAAAGTGATCCTTGTAGAAACTAAAACAAAAAAACAAGTCCATGCCATGAAAAAAGTGGACTAAGTATTTCTATTTGCAGCTGATGTGATCAATATTCCTCAGAGGTGTGACGCTAAGTGTAAGCACTGCTCTGTCTGAGGCTTTGTTAGACTTTAATTGTGTTTGTAATGTTTATTTGAGCATAATCTGACCAGAAAGACCTGATTTAGTTGAAACGACAACAGATGAGTTGACTTTTTACTGTTAAGCAAACCCTCCTCAATCAACATTATGTAACAAGCTAGCTAGCATTAGCCTTGTTAGCCAGTTTTACATTTATTCACTCTCAAAGTCAAACATCTAAACAGAACCACAAACACTTTGCACTGATCACAGCCTCCTGAAAATGTGTTCTTTAAATCCATTTTGTGTTTTTATTGAGTATTCTGACAATGTTAAACCTTTTTGGCAGTGTTTGCTAACGTGTGCATTGTGTCGCCATGGTAACTGCTGCAAGTATGTGGAATGTTCAGGACACCCCCAACGTGATGACACTGCAAAGTATCGATACTCATTTACCAGAATACAATCCGGTACGTCAGCTTTGTTCTGTTACAAATGTTAGTACAAATTCAACCCAGTGAAATGTTTGAGAGATGAGTCATGTAACTGCTTGTTTATTCACCATGTTTTCTTATAGGCCTGTTTAGCACCCTTCACAAAGATAGGGTGAGGGTGAGGGTGATGTCAACGCCAAATAAACTTAATTAGACTTGTGAGTGCCGTCTCCACTGCTCCAGAAGGTTTATTTACACATGTATTTAAACACACCCTTTTACTGTCTGCAGGGCATTTTCCTTTTGGCAGCTCTTTGAATGTATTTACATAATTTATCTTTCAGCCTGTACAGGTACTTACACTGCCTGTGACAATGATAGCTCCATATGCACTTAAAGAGCACATATTACGCTGTTTTCTCATCTGTGTTATAATGTTGTTTTCTCATCACAAACATACCTTGAGTTGCGTCTTGTTTCATTTACATAAGTTCTTCTCTCAGATAGAAAACACTCTTCTCCACTGATGTCATGTGGTAATACAGGAAGTGCTCCACTGTGTTTTTAAAATCTATGCACTTTCACTACAATAATTTGGTTTCTTTTAGCGCTGGAATTGCCCATCTATACTGATCAAAAGGTAAAAGATAGCTGTTGACTTGAAAAACACCACTACATGACATCACAAGTTGGAAGAGAGCATTTTCAGTTTTGGAGAGACTAATAATAAAGGATTACTCAAACATGTGTGAACGAAACAAAGCACAGCTCTGGGCATGTTTTTGATGAGGTAACACATTATAACATGGCGAGTCAATATTGTGTAATGTGGGACCTGTAATGTATTAACTAATTTCACATACATTTTATAAGTCTGTGTCACTATAGTGCAGGAAGGCAGGAAGCAGTAGAGGCTGGGACGTGTATAGACAGGTCCCGCATGTCCTTGATGCAGTACAAAGTAGGTTTGTTTTCCTCTGACAGTAAAAAGTCAGTTGATCTCACAAGCAAAACCCAAACAAATGCAATCGTTGCAGTTCTCAGTATGCCTAAACAAAGGAACAGTTTAGCACATTCGGTTTATTTGTCATTTCCTGACAAGTCTAGCATCTATTTTTGAGAAGCTTGCTAGTGGTTTTGTGGCCAGCCAAACTAACTGAGAGAGTTCAAGTTTCAAAGAAGGGCCAAGATAACACACCTCGATAAATTGGATTATTTTGCGCATCTCATGTGTATACGCTGTTATTGCCTGTAGACCTGGGCCTGTGGTTAAGCTAAAGCTCCATTATCTTGTACTAGCATCAAACACACAACCATAGGTGCTAGCTAATTCAGCATATTTCTAACTGTACAGGAATTGATATACCGAAAATGGACTGTGCAAAGATAAAAAAAAATAAAAAAAATGACACAGATTAGTCAGTGGAAATTAGTCATAATGATTTAGTGGTAATTTCAGTTTTCTCTTTTGACAAACTGTACTTTAACACAATAAATAAGACTGACCAGAAATATACAGATAAGAGTAAGAGTAAGAGTGAAAGATGTCGCTTTAAAGTTCCTGGCAAAATTGTTGTGATTTGTTTCATTCACACATGTTTGAGTAAACCAGGGTTATTAGTCTATGTACATCTCCAAAGCTCAAAATGCTCCATTCCATCTTCTGATGTCATGAAGTTTCAAGTTAGCTACCTTTTACCTTTTGTTCAGTAGAAATAGGCAATTCCAGAGCTGAAATTATCCAAATGAGCATTTCTTGTATTTTCACATGACATCACAAGGTAGATGTTCATGAGAAGAACTCTAAATGTGCAGGCTTTGTGTGTTAAGGGCGTATGTTTATGATGAAGAAGCAACATTATAACATAGATCAGAGAATAGTTTAATCATTTATCTAAAATTTTGTTGACATTTGAAACAGTGAACCTGATGCAACACATTCATGAATCATATTTCCGAAGTTGAAACTGGATGGACCCTGACTTCAGGAAGTGAGGATGTAGAAATATATAGACAGTTACAATAGCAATGAATGATGTAAAATGTAACGTTAATGTGAATGTGTGTTTGATTTTGACTGGAAAAGTCTTATCTAATCTCTAATCCCAGGTTTTCATATACTATGGCATTAACACAAGAGAGCTATCTGGACTTTTAAAATGGCATTTATGGAAGCTGATACTGAGATAGAGAGGAAAGTTTTGACAAAGCATTAGTGAAACCAGAGGAGTTGAGACTTGCCTTGTTCACACACACGAAGAGGGGGTGGAAAATATACCTTTTTACTCTTCTCTGCTACTCATTGTGTACAGAAAAAAGGGAAAAAACATCAACTTTTTTTTTTTCCAGACATAACCACACTTTTATTGCAAGTTGGCCTGTCATGATAATTATTATTTACACTTATTGTTCAGTACATTATAACTGGAACTATATTTTGTGGCTCATTATTTATCATGGACACTTTTTCTTTGCAATAGTGGAGATTTTTGCCATTTTTATGTAATAACGTAAGATATGAGCTGCAGAGGGTAGAATATGTAACCTCTTATCGATTTTTTTCTGTTTCAGCTCAGATACTGTCTATTTAAAATTGGTTTACTGATATTATTTTGCTTTGTGTCAGTGGCATACTTTCAATATTATCGTTTATGTCAATATTTCTCTATATTAGTATATTGTGCTTCAAAGTTTGTTATGGTGACAGGCCTAACTACAAGGATTTGAGGTTTCTTCCGGTAACATTCCTGGATCTCAGAGAAGCATTTAAGAGAGAGTCCAACATATCTCTCATTACAAATGTGTTTCAGTTCCTTGTACAGTCAACTACTTTTACTTTTCAGTCTAGTCCAAAAATACCTCCTCTCGAAAGTAAAAGTAAAACATATCCACATTAAAATGCACTTAAGTAAAACTCAGATACAAAAAAACTATCCTCACGTACAGTACTTTTCTATTTTTACTGTTACGTTCCATCACTGACTTTGAAACATAATGTTAAAGAGGAAGTGAAAAGATAGGGCCTATGTTTAAAATAGTTAAACCCAGAACAGAATGCAGGGTGGTATGGAAAATCAAATACCTATAGGGGCTTTTGTTGGCTTAGCATGTGTCATGTGATTGGTTTATTGTTGTAGCTAACTCATGTGGCCCAGTGCCCCATGTGTAGAGCATGTTTTCATCCGCTTTAGCTTCACTTACCCTCTCTCTGACGCAACTTGTTTTGTTTTTGTTTTTGTTTTTTACAGAACAAAAAAAGACAAAAAGAAAAGACTCCCACACCCTAACCTTCTCCCTTCTTCAAAAGAGATGCCTTAACAACAATGATAAAAAAGTATTAAAAGTTCTATATTCCTCAAAATTGACTCTTGTGAGATTTAAGCCATGTTATAATATTGTTACTTCCTCAAAAACACACCTGGAGTTGTGTTTTGTTTCATTCACACAAGTTTGAGTAACCCTTTATTAGTCTGTCTACATTTCCAAAACTCAAAATGTTCTGTTCCACCTTGTGATCTCATGAAGTGATAGTTTTCAAGTAAAAGAAACAAACAAAAAAGATAAAAACAAAATCCTCCCACACTCCACCTCTCTCTCCACACTCCAAATAAACACAAATGTACAAAAACAAAAAACAAAAACACAGTACCGCAATTGTTATAAAGATATGCGTTTTGTTTTCTCTTTGTGGAACCTGGTATTGGAGATGACATCCAAAAGCAAAAATGAAATATACAGCCTATTCTTCCAGTTGCTAAAACATCTGTAGCTCATTTGTTCGCATCACATAGCTTCATAATCATATTCAGACACATTCATGTTAACCAGTGACAAATTCAATATCTTCATGAAACTTTTACTAGCTTCCAGTATTGTTCGTGTGATTTTTTTCAGAAAATCAGAAAATTGGCACGTGGGATGAGAAAAAAAAAACATTTTCCCATTGGATCGGTCATTACGTCACATGACTAAATCAACCATAGCATTACACATTTTTGGGAAGCTCTCCGTGGGATCTGAGATTTGACCATTTCCCCTTAAATTAATGAGAAAGCAGAAATAATTGACCTTTCTCATTTGAGAGCGTGATCAAAACTTACTGTGCAAATAGAAATAGGATTCTTTATGGCACCTTGTAGTTAGCAAAAAAAAAAGTAAAATATAACTTTAGGGTGAGGAATTGGCTAATAGTTCAAGGTTAATGTACGGTAAGTGTACTCTTGTGAGTTTTAAGACATGTTATAATGTTGTTACCTCATAAAAAACTTATCTGGAGTTGTGTTTTGTTTCGTTCACACATGTTTGAGTACTGTAGTCCTTTTTTATGAGTCTGTCTACATCTCCAAAATGCTCTGTTCCACATTGTAATGTCATGTAGGACTGAAATTATCCAAATGCTTCTAGTGAAGGTGTAAGTTTACAAGGTGTAAGGTGGAGTTTAAAAACACAGTGGAGCACTTCCTAGGGTGTTTTCTGTTTGAGAGAAGAACTCAGACTTAATATGCAGGATTTAGGTGTGAAAAATGTGTCAACACAACTCCAGGTATGTTTGTGATGAGGAAACAACATTAGATCAGAAAATAATGTTATATGTGCCCTATAAGGTGTAAGATTTGTCCATGCATTTGACCCAATCAGTAGCCAAAATGTAAAGATATGTTATGAATATTTTATATGTGATCCCCTTAATTTATTTCTTAGGCTTAGACTTAGAATTGATCCACAGAGGAAATTATCTGGACACAGTAGCTCACACATCACAATATACATTATTATAATAACAAAAAGCAAGAAAAACAAGGCACTGGTATCAAATAAGGCATAATTATGTAAATGTGTTTGTACAAGTAAAACTAAAAAATACAGAAACAGCCTTTAGTAATACAAATATATCTCAGCGCTACACAAAAAGCTGCATCAAACCTTCAGCTAAAATAGAAGTGTACAGGAAACCTCATAGGCTTAAGTGGTTAGTGAGAGTAATACTAGTATATAAGCCTATAATATGAGACTTTATAGCAAAAATAGACACCAGCATTTGCCTATAATGACTCTCTTCGCTCTTAGCAGGATCCTGGTTGCTGTTGATTGGCACTTTGGTTTCCTTGTGTGGTCTGGTTTTCTCCGGTGACATTTCCTTGGAAATGGGTGACTTATCTCCTGGTGCAGCCATCAGTGTGAGTTGCGGTAACAGAAATTACACGAAACAGACAAAACAACGTGAGCCATATTGAAAATTCCTGCAGTTTTATTGACTTGAACTTGTTTTG